ACTTAATAAATGTCTCGCTTAGCAACAGAAATTTTGGACTCCTATGAGGACTACCTGTACAAAGACCTGCAAATAGAAATAGAATGACTGTAGCCAAAGAAAGTAAAGATAAGACCAATAGTAATGGGAATTTTGGTGTGCAACCCCAAAGTATCTGGAGCATCACTTGAACACCATTGCCATTGACAAAATCACAATTAATCAGCTGCAAAAAAAAAGCAAGCTTTACAGCTTATATCTTGTAATAACACCTTTAATACCATCAAACTACAACACTATCCTATCCCAAGTCCTTGGGAAAGATTTGATAAGTGGATAAAAATGCCAAATCCTAGCTAAGCATCTAGCTGACTGTGTGATGAACCATAATAATAATAATACCAGTTGTAATAGGCACCTGAAGTGCAATTCCAAAACATCTGGAGCATCATTTGAACACCAGCAACAATGTTTTTTTTTCAATGTTTCTGGCTGATCCAAGACTGACACACACCTCTGGGTGTGGCTGGTGCCTTGAGGGCACTCTCCCTGTCTTTTAACTTTGTATATTTTTGTATGTTTGTTATGGTCTTTTTTCTATTTTTTATTTTATTTCATTTTATAAAAGGAAGTTAAATACAAAACTCCAAAAAAAAATAAAAAAAAACCCACGCAATCAATCAAGACATTTAAAAAGTGCATTAAAAATACACATACACATAAATGTGTATTAATAGAAAAACTGTTGCTGGTCTTCAATTATCCCCCATAATCAAATCCTGATTAATACATTACTACAATATTGGTTTCCACCTCTTGTGAAAAAGCCCCAATTTTAAACTAGTAAAATCTATTTGCAAATTATTGACCTGTCATCTATCTACTATATTAATGACAAAATAGTTAACAGGAAGAACACTAATAATAATAATAAAAAGACAAAAGTTAAAATTTCAAAACCCTCTGTTAACCAAGTGTTATTGTAATCAACTTATAGAAAATTTGCCAGGATATCTTACCTATCCCAAATGGTCCTTTTTATTGGAAACTATTCAGAATCTCTTATGTAGTGAGATGGGTAGTGTATAAATTTGATTAATAACGTTTTCAAAATTAAGCTATTTTTTTTAATGTTAAAGTCTCCACTCACATACTTTTCATGTTAATGAAAAAAGGGCAAATTTAACAAGAATTAAAATTCTCAAAAGTAGAAAAAAAAAAGGAAAGGAAAGGAAAAAAATCTATTAGGTTTCTGATTTTCCCCTTTTGATACATCTGCTGTTTTATAAACATTGGAAGTATCTGCCTTACTAATTTTCATCAGCGTTTCCTGATCAAGAGTGTCTCTTCTGAGTGAAGTTGGAAACCAATCTTCTAGAAAGCAACTTCTAGTAGTAATAGTAGTAGAAGTAATAAGTAGTAGTAGTAGTAATAATAATAATAATAATAATTAATAATAATGCAAAGAAGCTGAAGAAACAGTGGACCACCTGGTAAGCTGTTGCAAGAAGATTGCACAGATTGATTACAAGCAGTGGCATGACAAAGTAGCAACAATGGTGCATTGGAAGATCTGCAAAAAATATCATTTGCCTGTAAGCAAAAACTGGTGGGATCATAAAATAGAGAAAGTCATAGAAAATGATAAAATTAAACTGCTCTGGGACTTCAGAATTCAAACAGACAAGCACCTGCAACATAACACCCCAGACTTAACAATTGTCGATAAGAAAGACAAAAAAGTCTGGATAGTGGACGTGGCAGTGCCTGGAGACAGCAGAATAGACGAGGAAGAACTGGAGAAGATAACAAAATACAAAGACCTACAAATAGAAATAGAAAGACTGTGGCAAAAGCAAGCAAGGGTAGTACCAATAGTAATAGGCTCCTTGGGTGCAATCCCAAAACAACTGGAGCACCACTTGAACACCATTGGCATTGACAAATTCGCTATTAGTCAATTGCAAAAGGCGGCCTTATTAGGAACTGCTTCCATCCTGCGACGATATCTGTAATACCATCAAACATCCACATCTGCCTATCCCATGTCCTGGGTAAGGACTCGATAGGTAGACAAAATGCCAAATCCAGTCTGAACATCTGGCTGACTGTGTGATGATCCATAATAATAATAATAGTTGGAAGGGACCTTGGAGGTCATTGAGTCCAACCCCATGCTCAGGCAGGAACCCTACACCATTATAGACAAATGGCTGTCCAGTCTCTTCTTAAAAACTTCCAGTGTTGGGGCATTCACCGCTTCTGGAGGCAGGCTGTTCCATTGGTTAATTGTTCTAACTGTCAGGAAGTTTCTCCTTGGTTCTAGGTTGCTCCTCTCCTTGATCAGTTTCCATCCGTTGCTTCTCGTCCTTCCTTCAGGCGCCTTGAAGAATAGCTTGACTCCCTCTTCTTTGTGGCAGACCCTGAGATATTGGAACACCGCTATCATGTCCCTCAGCAAAAATCCATAACAGTAAACCCACTCAGCCCAATTAAGAAGCTAAATGCTCTTTATTTTGTATCCACAGGTATTTTTATAGAGATCAAAAGAAAACCAATATATAACCCACTGCAGGAATATAATGCTCCATGTGTATTTATTTGTTTGCTTAATGCATTTATAGACACTTTTTGTCCAGCAAATGTGTAGTTTCATAATTCTCACAGGCCCCTTAATGACCTAGTTGTATGAATTTCTAATCCTGAAATTCTCCTTTTCTGCTCTAGATACACAGATTTTAAGTAGCTGCAGGATATTCCAGTAGATCTTTGAGCAAGCTGGCATAAGATTCTATTTCTTTGCCTGATTTTTACCCTGGTCTCTTAGCGAAGTTCACAGCGAGAATTTAGCCTGATAAAAAGATAGCAGGCCCTTATTTTAAGTTTGTGCTCCAATCTTCTTTTCTCTTTCTGACCCATATTTTTTTCTTTTTCTATTACTTGGCTGTTTATACACAGTGGTATGCAAATAAATAATCCACTAACTTTGTATATAAGAAAGATGAAACTGAGTATTTGTCTAGGTGGCTATTGTTTTTCACTGGTTTTAAAAGCTAAAGTAAGGGCATGCAGTATATATTGTGTAGCAGCAATAGCAGTGCATCTCAGTCAAAAATAATGCAGAAGAGAAAGGAATGTAAGATGAAGCTGGATTTAAGCCAAGTAGTGAGGAACTGGCCAATGAATTAACAGCAGTGCCAACATTTATCAGTAATCCTCTAAATGTAAAGATAAAGATGCCCTCAAACTGAATTCAGCTCCTGGTGATTTTATGGGTACATTTTTTCTTTAACATGAAAGTAGCTTTTTGTTGTCTGGGGATATTTTTTTTTTTTTTGAGACTTTTCAGCTTAGAGTTCTGAGATTTCCTTAGTATCTCTCATCCAAATATTAATCAGACTCAATCCTTCTTATTCGTCAGAAATATTCCAGAAACCTGGCCTTTGGTAGGCAAAATGTCAGCACTGGAGAAAGGGGAAGAACTTTTGCTGATCAATAACTTGTAGATTAGATTGTGAGAGGCTGAGCTTCTAAAAAGCCAGAAATTCAAGTATCCACTAAAAAAAAAAATCTTTCCATTGTTGATAGCAATTCAAACTTGTCAAGCAGGAACCCTCTGCAGTAGTGTTTCTCAGCTTTGGCAACTTTAAGAGGGGGTGGATTTCCAGAATTCTGGGAGTTGAAGTCCATCTCTCTTAAGGTTGTCAAGGTTGAGAAACACGTTGTAAAATAATTGTCTGTCAACCTGGTCCCCTCCAAATTTGTAGGATTTTTAATTTGTGGAATTCCTAGCCAGCAAGGTTCTAGAATTAGTTGTCTCCATACAACTGGTGAGTCCTTTGAAGTCATTCTAAAGCTTGTGGTCAGCCTTATGATTGTGATATGTCCCCTCCCACAAGGCAGGGGATAAATAGTTTTGCCTTAAGTCATCAACCTACAACAGAACTCATCCAGTTTATTTATTTATTTATTTATGAGAATTATATACTGCTTTAAGTGCAAGTACTCTCTAAGCGGTGTACACCAGTAAGCAATATATATATATATATATATATATATATATATATATATATATATTTACATTCCAGCTTTTCAAATGAAGACCTCTATCAAATGGATCATCTCTTTATTTTAACTGTAATGGGGACTTCTTTTAAATGCTTTAAAACTCTTCCAGTTAATTTTTCAGATTTTTTTTTAATAGGTTTGACGCTAAACTCTTCCATGCTTAATTATCCAAGACACTTATATACCAAGGCTCTGTATAAAGTGCTAGTAAGTGGTAACTGATACCTTTATAAAGGGTAAAAATGATTTCCACTGATATTGTACTTAATTTGACAAAATATATAATAGATTGAAATTATTACCAGGTGGTTTGTTTGTTTTTGTTTGTTACAGGGTGATCTTTTGATAGAGATTAAGTAACCAGTCTTTCAAAAAACCAGCAGTGGCTTGTTACTAAAAGTGGGAGCCAATCCATCTTCTCAAGTTACAGTAAGGTTGGTCAGCAAATAAACCCAAGTACCTGAAGGTGCTGAAGCACGTCTTTCATTTAAAGAAGGATACAGAGTTCTTTAAAGATACGGAGTTCTTTAAATATGTTTTTATCCAAAGATATATGCCATTCCAGCCTCCCTTGCTGTGCAAAAGACTGATGGAAAAACATACACCACACAAGATCATTGATTGAGCAGTGAGCTTGTTGTAGGTATGTTTGCTGACTTCGGAGGACACATAGTTGAAGGCAAACATGGAAAGAAGTCCGACGTGCTCTTCTTGTGATAAGTATCACAGGAGACCTTAAAGGATGTGAACTTCCCACAGGACCATGGGAGAAGATTGATATAAGTCTCTTTGTCTCCAAAGGAAAGATCATTGTAAACTATTGTTCCAACTTCTAAATCTCAAAACGATGTGTGTTCAAATTACAGCAGGGAAAACTCCCCGTTATTTGACTCTCCTTAATTAATATCAGAGTACTTTTTTTTTTTTAAAGTGACCCTTTCCTTTTCTCCTCTCACATCCCCTCCTATGCAGGCTGGAATCTAATTGGTTGCGCTAATTTATAGACCGTTTACATCGCTCAAGTAACAATTAAAGCGATCTAGCAGGCACCTCACACACGTTTCCAATTCACTTTGTCGGAGCGCCGGAACGCATTTTTAAACGTTGCCCTGTGTGTGTGTGTGTGTGTGTGTGTGTGTGTGTGTGTGTGTGTGTGTGTGTGTGTGTGTGTGTGTGTGTGTGTGTGTGTGTGTGTGTGCGTGCGAGGAGACGCGAGCTGGGATGAGCTATGCCTTGGATCCCGTTCTCCTTCGAAGAAAGACGTGGATTACCAGAAAGGAAGGAAGGAAGGAAGGAAGGAAGAAAGAAAGGAAGAAAGGAAGAAAGGAAGAAAGGAAGAAAGGAAGAAAGGAAGAAAGAAAGGAAGAAAGAAAGAAAGAAAGAAAGAAAGAAAGAAAGAAAGAAAGAAAGAAAGAAAGAAAGGCCACATTTTATTCCGTGGTCCCCACTCGCAATTGTAGTTTGAGGTTTTTCAACCCGCTCTAGTCTGAGAGAAGCAAAAGTCTTGGATCGCGAGCCTCGGTCCAAAGACCCCCGCTGCCCTGAGCCCACGCGGCCCCTCCCCGCTCCTGGTCGCGGGTGGAAGCCTCATTCCCTCGCCCTCCTCCCCCCGGTCGTGATCGCGGGGTTGGGATGACTTCAGCTCGGCACCCCGGAGATCGGCAGGGCTGGATCTGGCTACCATTGTTACGCATGTGCCGGCGCGCCTGCTTTCTTCCTCGGTTCTGTTGCTATAGGAGCTCCTGGCTAACAATCTCCTCTCGCCTGAATCCTCCGGGTTGCGTGGGCTCCGGTGGTTCCCGCCGCCGGGAAAACAGCCTCGGCTCTCCAGGCTGCGGCACCGCGCCTTTGGACGGAGTCATGCGCGACGGCGGGCCGCCCTGCTCTTCTGGAGCAACGGCAACATTGCAGGTAAGCTGGCTTGCGAGCAGGCTGAACGAAATGCACGGGGAGAAAAGAGGAGGAAAACAAACGGGGCAACAATGGCCGTTAACTTAGGTGATGTCATCCAACCTTCTCCAACAGGGCGCCCTCCAGAGGGGTCTGGACAACGTCTCAACGTCCCAAAGGTGCTTTTTCAGGAGGCAACTGGACTTTCTTGTTTTGCCTTTGAAGACGTTTCGCTCCTCATCCAAGAAGCTTCTTCAGCTCTGACTGGATGGTGCAGAAGGGAAGGATTTATACTCCTTGCAGACAGCTGATCATTTGCATTCATTTAGAGAGTCATTGAGGCCACTTGGAGGTTTGTCCTCAGGGTCACCTAGCCAAGAAGGCTCCACACAACTTTGCACTAAGGTGAACCTGAGGACACAGTTAAAAATCTCCAAATGGCATCAAGGACTCCCTGAAAGAATGCAAATGACCAGCCTTCTCTGCAAGGAATATAAATCCTTCCATTCCCCACCATCCAATCAGAGCTGAAGAAGCTTCTTGGATGAGAAGTGAAACATCCTCAAAAACAAAAAGTCCAGTTGCCTCCTGAAAAAGCACTTTGGGGATAACCATGACCTGGATGACTGAGAATCTCCATAGACACAACGTCTCAACATTCCCAACCAGGTGGGGATGAGGAGACCATTAGGTGAGTGCTGAAGGATAGATATGTCTATGCATGCTGGTGGTTGTCCTCCGATCTCCTCTTGGTGGTGAAGGATTGATTTTGGCATATGGCCTTTGTACAGTGGTGGGATTCAAATATGTGAAAAACTGGTTCTCTGTGTGGATGCTGCTTCCGGAAGTCCATTCTGGGCCTGGGCAACAAAAAATTAGCTACCGATTCTGCCGAAGTGGTGTGAACTGGCTGAATCCCACCACTGCCTTTGTATGAAAAAACGAGAGTTCAGGTAGCTGAACGACCTGCCTTCAGAAGTTGTGAATGCTCCAATACTGGAAGTTTTTAAGAAGAGACTGGAGAACATTTGTCTGAAATGGTATGGAGTTTCCTGCCTGAGTAGGGGGTCAGACTAGAAGATCTCCAAGGTCCCTTATTCTATATTCTGTATTCAGCTAGCGAGTGAACTCTTGTGTTCACAAAAACACATCCTGCTTCATCCTTTTAAACTCTCCCAAAGTCCTACTCAGTTTTCTAATACAAAATGGAAATGTGGGCAAGTGCAGGCATTCTCAGGCATTGTTGTGTGAATAGGCCTGCACTGTGTATCAAGCAGCAACACATAAGTGAACGTGAAACTACTTAGGATGCTTGCTCCATCTTATGAAAGCTTTGTTTATGATATTGGACTTTTAAACATGTTTGCTTTGCGGGTTGAGTTGACATGCTTGGGATTAAATGAATCTGCTTTATTTAGATGCCTTTGTTTTGTTTCTCTGGGTTCTAAATTGTGGAATGCCAAAAAGGCTTTGGAATCTCTAGAGCTGCATTCTACATTCCACTGGTTTGGAAGTAAATTCTGTTGAAGGCATCATGACAACAGGCATTGAAAACAAGGCACTGAAGTAGGTGATCACACCTACTTGTTATAGGGTAGCTTGATTAGTGGTCTCAGGCCATTCATTTCCTGATGTAGATAGGAGATGAAAGATTAGGGGATAAACTGAATCTTTTTCAGAAGTGGTTGTCTAGACATCAGTGACTATTCAAAAAAATCTGAGTACGTTTAACTTTTCCTGGTTATTTGAGCCGAATTTGTGCTTCCTTAAGTTTCTCCCCAAGTCTTTCTCTGGTTTGAATTCCTACTAAAGTTATGTGAATGGTTAAGCTGATTTTTAAAAATGAGTAGAACGTGTTAGATTGAAAACAATAACAAGCCCACCTAAATGCCATCATTTTTGTTATGTGCTACAAGATATAAGCTCAGATTTGAAGGTCTGGGAATTGATGGGTTTGACCTTTATAAAATGTAGTTATTACTCAAATTACTTACAATTTGAAAATATACACCTCTGGAAAGGGGCCAGAAAATTGGTCAATGAAAATAAGGTAAGATGCTAATAGGAACTGGACTGGAAAAAAAACCTTAGAAGTGGAAACCATCTGTTAATATCTATTGCTGCTCTGTGGTGGATAAGGTACATTGTTTGAACTTATTATGCCCTTTAGATACATATCACATAATTTTGTGATGTTAATAGTAAATAAATCACTTTTTATTTTATTTTATTTAATAAAATAAAAGTGATAGCCACAGTAGTAGTGGCTACTGGCTAACGGACTTGAGTTTTAGCACGCAATGGCCTATACTGTCAGATTCATGATTTCCACACCATGGGGAGGGGAGGATATATTAACTCATAGTATCTACGCGAGACCATTTGAATAGCTAGTGCACAGAAGGTATGCCAAGTAGCCTTTTGTGCTTGTGACAAATCTGAGCTGGGAGTACTGTAAAGACTTCAGAAAAATTTACAAGACAGAAGTGTTTCAGAAATAGTTTCAGTGCCATCACAGTCAAGATATTGTAAAGCTATGGCATCTATAGAAAAAGACACCAAAATTGACCAGGAAGTTAGGAAGGACTACGGCAGCTGCCTCACAAGGAAAAGTCACACCTGCTTTAAGATGGGATAGACAGGTAGATCAATGCTTTTGTAGGTGCATTGATAGACAGGTAGATCTGGGATAGACAGGTAGATCAATGCTTTTGGAGGCAGAATCTGAGCTGCCACACAGCCTTTCTCACACCCATCCTTATTTCTACATGCAGTGTTTATTTGTTGAAAAGCCTTATTCTGCAACCCTTTATTTAGAAAAATTCCGTAAAGTTCAGCTTTGTCCTTATTTTGTTAGGTTGACTTTAGCATACATATAAATGGTGCCTTCTCCTGAGAGGATTCAGGGTTGACTCAGCCTTCCATCCTTCTGAGGTCGATAAAATGAGGATCCAGATAATTGGGGACAAGATGCTGACCTCTGTAAGCCACCCAGAGAGTGCTGAAAAGCACTGTGAAGCAATATATAAATCTTAAGTGCTATTGCTATTGCTATATTATTGTGAGGCCCTAGATCAGTGGTTCTCAACCTGTGGGTCGGGACCCCATTTGGGGTCGAATGACCATTTCACAGGGGTCGCCAAACAATGCAGTCCGCCATTTTTCTCCCCTTTTCCTTAGCTGTGCTACTCCCTTTTATTCTATTGGCTTTTGAAAGCCAATAGAATAGACTCTCTTGAATAGAGTCTAATTCTATTGGCTTTCAAAAGCCAATAGGAATTGTCCAGGCTGTCTCTGCCCTGCTGAGCCCGCCAAAAGTCCCATTCTGCAAACGATGCTGCACCAGTTGAGTAGTCCTCGACTTACGACCGGTTGAGTAGTCCTCGACTTACAACTGGTTGGGAGACGCGGCATTAAAAAGGTTGAGAACCACTGCTCTAGATGTAGGATTAAACGCTGGGCAAAGCTTTCTCTTTCTAGCAATGAAAGCAATGTTTTCTCACTCTTCTTTAATTGATGAATCCAGTGAGAACCTAGCAACCCCACAGTGCTCCAGCGATGCTCTGACAGTGGCTTGATGCCTTTGATCTTTGCTGGCACCAGAACTGGAGGATCTAAAAGCTAACAAAAAGGGAACTGATTTACCTTAATCTCACTCTTCTTTCATTGCATCCTTGTGTGCCACAGGAGGGAAGGAGATGCCAGGAGAATATCTGGATAAGGATGTAAACCCATCTCTTGGGGGCTGAGCAGTGCTTCAGGTTCAGAAGGAAAAAGATGCTTCAGAATGTCCACCGGTGCACAAGTAACATCTATTGGCAACTCCTTAAACTAAAATGTACGTTTCATTGGGAAAAGACTACAATTCTATAAGGCAATTTTGTGATCTTGGGAAAAGATGCAGCTGCTTTAAAGGGTTGTAGACTGAGCAGTCCAGCACACTTCAAAGCATCTTTTTTTTTCTTTGAATCCAAAGCCCATACTCCATTCTGAATTCACAGAATAGAAATTTCCCATCAAAGGGGTTGGGACGATAAAGGTGAATCTTGAAGAGCTTAGAATGAACTGATTCCCTTTTGTTTCCTTCCTTCCTTCCTTCCTTCCTTCCTTCCTTCCTTCCTTCCTTCCTTCTTTCTTTCTTTCTTTCTTTCTTTCTTTCTTTCTTTCTTTCTTTCTTTCCTTCCTTCCTTCCTCAGGATCCTTCTTTAAGGGAACAGTTTTCCTTGGGGTATTGAAAATGTCTTTGGCTGACAAGAGGCTTGAAAACCTCCAGATCTATAAAGTTCTCCAGTGTGTCCGACAGAAGGACAAGAAACAGATTGAAAAGCTCACCAAGCTTGGATACCCTGAACTCATCAATTTTACCGAGCCAGAAAATGGAGACAGTGCCCTTCACTTGGCTTGTGTGGCCAACGACATTGACATGTGCAACTTCCTTTTGGAGCTTGGTGCTCACCCCGATGTCCAAGACCGAATGGGGCGCACTCCCGTGATGAAAGCGGCGGAACTTGGCCACGACCTGGCCTTGGATGTGCTCGTCCAGGCTGAAGCAGACATGACCATAGTGGACGCAGAAGGAAAAGGTAAGGCGCATCCCACCTCCTTTTGTTTGGCGGGCGGATTTTCAGGAAGATCAGGCTGAATGCTTCAATTCCCTTAGTGGTCGGTAGTTGTGTTCAGCATGGTGGGCATTTGCCTTTTAAGCCATAGTGCTATGTGCTCTTTCCAGGAGTGCTATTTTATTGCATTCTGCCCACCAAACGGCACTTCCGCTGTGTTCAGATGGTCCTCGAATTTGGAGCGGATGTTAACAACTGTACTTTTGAGGGGAAGCCAGTTTTCGTAGAAGCCTGTGAGCAAGCCCACGAGATCAAAGAGATATGTATGACATTTTTGGAAAGAGGAGCAGACCCCAATGCAACAAACCCAGTAAGAGCATTCTTAACGTTTTAAGCGGGTACATTGGACACTTCCGGCATAAAGCGGTTTTGTTCGGTTAGCTGGCTAGATTTCTTTAAAAAAAACACAATACAATTTCTTTTAAAAGGAGCAGGCTCTATCTTATAAAGGTCAGCCCTTGTTTTCCTACATGGAGGGCAATAGCTCATCCAGCATAGGCTTCCTAAGACACAGCAGTCTATTGGAGAAAAACGAGGCAAAAAGTGCTCTTGTTTGTAGTTGTGTGCGGGTCTAAATCATGCCCTAATTATACTATATCATCCAAGACTCTTAATGCTGTCTTTGGTATTCTGCATACTACGTGGAGTGCTTGGGATGAAATTGTAAAACATTCAGAATCACTTCATTGAAAATGCGGTTGGTAGAATTCAGGACCACTACCATTTTACATGGCAAACATGTAATGTAAGCATTCCTGTTTATAATGTTCCCACATGTAAAGCAGAATCAATTTCTCAGCGTTTGGGAAACAAATACACCAAAGAGAAGGCTGTAATACAGATAAGGGCCATTTTGATTTGGAAAAATGTCATAGAAATATGGGTTGCAGCTTGGCCTCCTGAACTTAACCAGTGGAGAAACAGTTAAATACCCAAGGGAAAGAAAGTTCCTAGAGCAGGGCTTTTCAACCTTTTCACCCATTGTACCGCTTTTACGATATGGCAACATCCGAGTATCACCAGTCACCTAGCAAGGTGTCAAAAACTTGATGACCAAAAAAAAAAAAGAGGAAAAAAGTTATAAAGTACAGGTAGTCCTCGACATACAACAGTTCGCTTAGTGACTGTTCGAAGTTACAATGGCACTGAAAAAAGTGCCCCCCAAGCCACAGCCGAGCAAGACACCTGCCTGCCTGCCCGGCGGCACTCTTCCTCCTCTCTGAGATTTTCATTGTTGTGAGCATTTTTGTTGAGGATTGGCAGCGGGGGTGGGGTAGGGTGTGTGTTTGGTTTTTATTCCCCCCCCCATCTGCTGGGTGGTTGCAGCAGGTTTTGGTCACTTCACATGACCCTGGAACACTGTGACCATCATAAATATGAATCAGTTGCCAAGCATCTGAATGTAAATCACAATACCCTGGAGATGCTGCAACATTCCAGCTGATCGGCGCTTCTTCTGGGCTCAGCAGAAGCGCCAGGATCAGTGCCGAGCTCCATCTGGAGCCTGGTGCTGATCCTGGTGCTTCCGCTGAGCCCTGACAGCCCTGCAGCTCCAGCCATCTCTCGCTTAGGCTTGTGCGGTGCTGCCACTGGTTCAGCTCATTCCCTTCCCCCGCTACCACTTTTCTAGGATGCTCGCGTACCACCTGGCAGGTGTCAATGTACCACAGGTGGTACCCGTACCACTGGTTGAAAAGCCCTGTCCTAGAGGCATGATATACTTCCTGCTAGGATCCTAGTTTGTAACTGGATAGCAATTGATGTAGCCTCTTTATACAGGTAAGAGGAGAAAACGAGCTGACTCTTTCTCTTTGGCAATTCTGAACCCCTGGCAAATGGTTTTTATCAATAGAAGCTTGCCTGCTTTTCTGTCTCCTTTGAAATTCGGAAAAATCTATAATCACGTCTCTCTGATTTGCAGGCAACGGGCCGCACTGCCCTGATGGAAGCAGCAAGAGAAGGGGTTTTAGAGGTGGTCCGGGGTATCCTGGAGAGAGGTGGGAATGTTAATGTTTTTGACAACGAGCGACACCATGCTGCCCATTTTGCTGCCAAAGGAGGGTTTTTTGAGGTATTCTTTCTTGATGCTGTCAGAAGCAAAGGTACCCAACCAAGGATCTCTCTTGGTTCATTACTAATAATCAGCTGTCACTAGAAAGGGGATTCTGGAATACTTGGTTTTTCTAGGGGTTGGTAATATGGGGAGGCTGTCCTAAAAGTGGGTCATAGAACAGAGGGGGGAAATGTGAAAGTGACTGTAGGCCCAGAGATGGATAAAAGATTTGAACTGGAGAAAATTGCATGTAGCTAGGTTGCTGTCAAAAAAACAGCAGCTCTGAAGTGAATTTCCCCCACTCTCCCCATAATGTGTGATTACAGAAATACACAACACTTTAAGACCTTAGGTTGACCCACTTACATCAATGGGTGCTGCTGCGGAAGGAATGGGTTTTGCTACCATTTGTTAGTTTTCCCCCCTCCTCCTGGTAGCAGAACAGACACATTTTCATCACTGTGCAATGCTAGGCGATCACACCTGATGGAAGGAAGAAAAAAAAAACTTGATAGAGAATTACTGCTTGGGGTTGTGTTTGCCCCTCCGTCATCCTGTTAAGTTGATTTCTCCTCCGCAGTCTTTGCTGGGATGTGTCTCTGTTTAAATGTTTAAATATTTCCTGCTGCTTTATTTGGAAGCCTCCAGTCTGAGGATTCTCTTCATTAAGGTTGGAGGTTGTTAGGCCAGGGATTTGTCCCAAATGAATCCCCCAGGAAAAACCCACTTGTTTGTCTGCCTGTTTTAAGTATCTTAGATCAGTTTTGACTTGAAGTGGAACAGTTATGAGGTATGGGGAGGAGCCCACTTTATTTCTTTATATCAGTTTGGGACTTAGCATTCCCTAATGCTGCTATTTTACCCTTCCCCGTATCCTAAATTTGTGTTAAGAGAAATAGCATCCCGGCTGATTTACATCCAGCAAGTTCAGTTGAACTGGTTGCTTGCTCTTAAAATAGAGCTTTGCAATTTCCATTGGCTCTAGGGCTGCACAAAAGTTTTGGGCAGCACCTTTAACTCCACAAAGCTCCAAAAATAAGTAAGAAGAAAGCCGATTTGCAGAGATGAGTTCATATTCATGCAGTAACTTATAGGAAATTAGATGTCTGGCAGAAAGTTCTCCTGGGATTTAACTGGCTAGAGTTTTAAGTTCTAAACGATGTGATCATTTTAATTCAAAGCTACTCAAAGAAATCAAAGCTTGTGTGTTTGATTGGGATAAGAATAAGAGCTTTGGAAATCAGTGTCTTTGTTTCTCTCAGCACACACACACAGTGCAAATATCCATTTAATGAAGAACTTCTCTTAAGGCAAGTAAGGTAGGTCTCTCATATCCCCCCATCTGTGTTTCTTTTTTACAGCCCCCAGAGTCCAGAAGATCAAACTCACCCTCTTATAAAAAAAGCAGAAAAAGTGTGAAAATCCAGTTTTACCCACAAAAGTTTAAAAAGATAAAAAAAACAAAACCCTCTCCTGCTGGAAAAGGATTAACATGTTGCCTGCATGCCAATACACAGTCACCTCTCCCAATCACTCTTATTCCATGTTATAGTGACAGTAATAATTTTTAAATTGTTTCAGTGATCTATGTTTTGCTACAGTTCAAAATAAACTCAGTTTGATTGATGTTATTAGTGTCCACACTTTTGTGGGGGGTTTTTTTGCATTTAATATCATGGGCTTGCTTCCCCAGATACTGAAGATTATTTCTGCTTACAATGGAGATGTGGGCCTTATAGCCATGAATGGAAATACACCTCTTCATTACGCTGCTGCTGGAGGTTTTGCAGAGTGCTGCAAATTTATCGGTCAAAGAGGTAAATTATAAATGTTGGAGAATGAAGAGCGTCTAAAGTAAATGTAGAGTTTCAGATGTCTGATCTTTGAATCCATTGCCACTTATACCAAACCATTGGTTGGCCTTTCTTCCTTTCCAACTATGATCTAATCAACAAAGATGGGAACTCAGTTCCATGTCTATTGCTGATAAAATATTATCCAAGGTTAAATCCCTGAATGAAAGTACAAACCAAGCATGTATTTATGTTGACAAACTCTATCAACTAGGCTACTCTGTCATGAAGTAGATTAAGTCGGGAGAGCAGGGACAGAGTATAACCACAGCCCATGGATATTCCATCTCATTGGCCAAAAGCTTCTTCTAATAGTTTGGTACTATGCTACTATGGCCAAAATACTGTAAGAATGTAATCAAGTGTCACATAGCAGTTTGTCTTCCTGTACTAATGGACTACCAAGACTTCTTGTCTTCTAGCACTTTAGTGTTCTTGCTGAGGTTGCCCAGCCAAGAATGGCTTGCAATTTCATGTGTTCCATAAAGACCATGGACTATCCCAATTTGTATTTGGCCTTGCCCAGGCAGTGGGGCTGAATTTGGTATTCAGTTCAGCTTGAACCAACAATCTGTGGTTGGTACCAAATGCAGCAGATAAACTAACCAGTACAAGGTATAGGGATCAATTAATGTGTCCGTTGAAAGATCTCTACTGGATGTCAATTCATCTTTAAATCACCAATTGCTCGGGACCTGACTATCTAATAGACTGCCTCTTCTTAGCGGAACTTGCCTGGTTACTCAGAATAGAGAAGCAACCCTTTGGAGCCCTGACGTTTTCAGAAACTTAGGTCTTTCTTCTGTATGGGTCTCAGGCTTATATTGCTTTCCTTTAGATAGGTGTTCAGCCCCACTCTTCAGTGTTTAGAACATCTCTCTGTGAAAGTATTTTTTGTTAATTTATTGACTTTTAACATCATGTTTTATATTTTGTATTTTTGAAATCTGCCTTGCAAATGCAAGTGAAAAGGCCAGCTATAAACCTAGCAAATAAATATATGAGTACATAAATACACACACACACACACACACACACACACACACACACACACACACACAAGCTAATTTAGACTTGGTTTGGAACCAAAACATTAGTTCTGTTTAGATTATATTTTGCCAAGAAGGTTTACCAGGTGATTTTCTGTTAGTCTAATGATACTTGCAGAAGGAAAGCTTTTGTGACCTACAACTGTCATGTAAGCCAGGATCCTGCACCATCATGATGTGGGTTCCATATAATATATAGTAATGATGATATTGTGTCTGCAACATACTACCTTAATAATTTCACCAGTAAGCAATAGACAGCCAGTACAGAATTTTACCAGCTGTAATGTTCGCTGCTCTATGTTTCAAGAGTCATTCACCTCAGTGGTTCTCAAACTTTTCTTGATCATGGACCCCCCCCCCCTTTAAATTCCCTTTATGGCCACGGACCATGGCCACATCCCACCAAAACTTAACTCAAGATTTAAATCATAATATTTCTTCAAGCCTTCGTGGACCCTCTGTGATGACATAGCACCCCTCCCAGGTGTCTGTGGAACACAGGTTGAGAACCGCCAATTCACACTATTCCTGATCTCCAGTCACAACTTGTTTTCAATGTATTTCTTCTAAATTTGTAGGTTCTGACCCTACTTGGAGAAACTTAGAGAAGAAGGTTCCAAGACAGGTTGCTAAAGACGGGGGGTTCAAAGCAGCTGCAAAGGAGATACGTAAAATTGAGCGGCGGTTTGCCAAATTTTCCAAACCCAAACCTGGAGTTAAGGACCCCAATCCACCCTGGGCTATCAGGTTGCACGATTGGTCTGGAGAAAATCAGGCGAGCCTTCGGGAAACGTTTGAGGCATACGATCGAGGGGATGGGACTGTGAGCAAGGAAGATTTTATATCCATTATTGAGGAAAGGTATCCGTTTATTGAGCCAGAGCAGCTACAAACAATAGCCCAGGCTCATGAGAAAACACGTGCAGCAGGAGTTAACATTGAAGAATTTCTGAAGGGCAGCCGGTATCTGCAGAAGGCCTTCCTCCTTGGAAGTTATGGTCCAAAGAAGAAGAAGCCCAAGAAAGCAAAAGGCAAAAAAGGAAAATTTGCCATGCCGATGCCAATTTGCGTCATTCCAGAGAGCACTCGGCCTCGTCGGACAGACGGGGGACCCCCAGAATACATGATTGAAACTTATCAAAATGTAACTGACTGCACGCGTTTCAATCGGGATCACCCTCCTGAACATCCATTGCAGGATGATTCCTGGTGGTATATTGAAGACCCACCAAAGACCTTTGCCAACATCAATTACCTTGCCAAAGAGGGGGACCTTTCCTCTATCAAAAAAGCATTTGAGGCCGGGGTGCCAGTAGACATCAGAGACCATTTCTATAAGACTCCATTGATGGCTGCCTGTGCAAGTGGCAACATGGAAGCAGTGCAGTTCCTTCTCGAAAAGGGGTGAGTTAACTTTTTTTTTTTTAGTGGCTTGCCAGGAATTGAAGAATAGAAAAGTTACATTTATACCAATCTTACCATTGGTGACACTAAACCAGGCATGTCAAACTCGTGACGTCATGTGACGTATTGCGACTTTTTCCCCATTGCCGGCAATGGGGTGGTTGCAGTTTCAGCGTGATGCATCCAGCCTGCAGGCCGGCAGTTTGACATGCCTGCACTAAACTAATTGTATAATGAGATAATAGCATTTAACTGTTGAACTTTGTGGGCAAGGAACACAAGGATATTGTATCTAATTTGTAGATCTGAAGATAAACCCTTACAAATATTGGCAGTAGTCACCTTTTTGATAATTTTCAATGTGTATTTAAATGTTAATTCACTTTTATTGTTGGTGTTGTAAATTTTTTTATAAATTTATCTTTTTCAAAAGGTCTGTGAATTTTATATTATCTCTTGATATATATATCAAGCTCAGCACTTGTATTAAACAGTTTTTAGTTTGATTTTATCCTGGTGTTCAAATTTACTTACTTTTATTACATACATACACACACACACACACACACATACACACACACACATATTGGTATATGTATGTTTATTGTATATGTTTAGGTAGGCAAAGATCTGGGTAACTTATTTGGGAGGGTTCAGGAAATTTACTGGTTTTAGTTGATTAACTTAGTTTCAGCTTGACTGTCAATTATCTAGTGGAGATGCTGATTCTCAGACCATTGTGGATTCTGTTAATATTTTAAGGCAGACATGTCAAACACAAGGCCTGGGGGCCGGATGCGGCCCGCGAAGTGGTTTCATGTGGCCCACGAAGCCATCCTGGAAACAGTGAGGGAATGGTCCCCGCTGCCTTGGCCCTGGCCCAGGCTGGCTGGGAGCCAATGTACAATTTTGTGATGGCCATCTATGCTGAAAGGCATTCATTCTTAGCTCCATAAGCCCCTCCGCACATGGCCTGAGAGGAACAGTGAGGCTCCTCCAGTGGACCATGCCTTGGCACTTGCCCCGGTCCCACCCCCTTCTGCCAGAGACCTCAGATCTATCCCACTCTTGCCCAGGCCCCCACAGGCACTCTTGATGCGAACGATGTAGAGCTGGCTATGCCCACCCAGTAGGCCACACTCACTCCATCCACGCCTACCCAGTAGGCCGCACCCACCCTGGCCACACCCACCTGGCCCCCTGAGGGCAACCGCAATGCTGATGTGGCTCTCAATGAAATTGAGTTTGACACCCCTGTTTTAAGGGAAGATGGAAACAGTATAAAGAATAAAATATATTTGGATATAAAACTTCTCACAGTAGGTTTGTAGGGTGGTGTGATGACCACGTGATGACCAGGGCATTGTGGATTTAATGTTGGACAGAGCATATTTTGAAGCTTGTTGGGTTCCTTATTGAACTGCAAGCCTATCCCAGTCAGTGGCCATAACTGTTGTGGAATCAAACCAAGAATGTAAAACCAAGATAAGGGCGTAGAGTTCTGTAGAAGCAGGCATGGCGTCTGGTTAAGCTGTGATATTTTGTTGAACATGCTTCCCTTTCTTATTGGTGCTTGACAAATTTGTCATTTAGTCCACATTGGAAGTGATCTGAATTTGTGCCCCTCAAAGTAGCCTGCTGCGTTTATTTATTTATTTATTATTTATTTTCATGTCTGAATTGCTTTTTTTCTGCAAGCATCCCTTTGTAGTGCTGGGAACTATGGAGAAATGTTCCTAGTGGACAAAAGTCAAGCTCCTCAGGGGTGTGTATGGCCTCCAGATCAGTAGTTCTCCTGTTCCCTGAAAGTGAATTAAAATAGTGTGGCAAAATAAATAAGATCCAGGATTTGGCAGAAAGAAGAAAAAATTGTCATGAATAAGTTTTAAAGAGTAATTGGATAAGTCAATAACAAGGATGAGTCCAGCAATCAACTCATCCTCAAAACCTTTTCTGGTTCCAGAAATAACGAAAGGCCTCAATTTTTCAGTTCTGGCTATGTTTCTGTCTGTAGGTGTGAGGGTTTGAATTCAGGAAGAGGCTGGAACAATGTTCATTGGTCCTGCCCTCAGTGGCTTTTCAATATGCTCTTCTTGCCCTTTGTTCCAATGGTGCTTTTTCAAAAGGCAACTGGACTTCGTTTTTTTCCCCCTGAAGACATTTCTCTTTTAATCCAAGAAGCTTCTTCAGTTCTGATTGAATAATGGAATGGAAGGTTTTATATTCCATGCAGGAAGGGTTTATATTCCATGCAGTCGTCTGGTTGTTAGCAGAAGAATAAAAGACACTGGCTAGAAAAGCAAAGAATATAAATCCTTCCGTTCTCCTCCATTCAGTCAGAACTGAAAAAGCTTCTTGGATGAGAAGCGAAAACATCTTCAAGGGAAAAATTGAAGTTCAGTTGCCTTTTGAAAAAGCATCTTGCCTTTTGCTCTTCAGTCTTTTCAGATTGAGCGGGCAGGTCCAAACAGGGGTGTACTCATATTTGCTTGGATATTTAAGTACAATTTTACCTGTAATCTTAGATCCAGCCTTATTAGGGCCATGGAGTGCGCAGAGAACTGTGAATATAGCTACCTTTCAGACGTGACAGAAAGTTTGGGGAGAACAAGAAGCTGATCAAATATCAAATATAAGAGGTGAGCCAATTTGGGTTCAAGCTTTGCATGCAGCCCTAAATATGGCTTACATCTCTTTAAGATCATACCTAAGGCTATTTACATAGTTTGGTAGAACTTCATAGACTAAAGTAAGCTGTAATCTACAGCGTTTATGCTGTACTGTAATACGGTTAATTGCAGTTTATACAACAATACATTTCTTTAACTTTGGTGCCATTACTTTTGTTGTTTTAATCAGACTGCCAATTGCTTTCACCGAATGATTCATTGTTTCAAAAGGAATTAAAACAATCCTTCTCCATTTCTCAGTTAATTTAGTTGGGATGCTGAGAGATTAGATTTTTGGCATTATTTCAACCCAGGAAGAGCAATTCAGTTAAGAACTGCTATTTGCCATCTCTGCAGCCCATTAATACTAGACTCCTTTGCCTAGGATCAGTTGAAGAATACAAAGAACCGGCTTGAAAAGTGTGAATGTACCTTACAGAGTCCTTATTTTCTCTTACGTGCAGGGCGAGTGTGAATACCACAGACAATTTCATGTGGACTCCTCTCCATCATGCATGCCACGCAGGGCAGCAAGACATTGCTGAACTCCTTGTGAAAGCTGGTGCCACAATAGATGCCGTTACAATCAATGATGGAACCCCATTGATGAGAGGTATCGAGAGCAGCCGTTTGGACACCGTGCAGTATTTAATCAACAGTGGTGCTAAGGCTCAAATGACAAACCGAAAAGGTAAAGTTTTGCATTGTTACTCAGTGTGCTATTGCCTAAGGCAGGGTTCTTCAAATGTGGACCTTTTATGACTTGTGGACTTCAACTCCCAGAATTCCTCAGCCAGAGTGTCTAGCTGAGAAATTATGGGGATTGAAGTCCACAAGTCATAAAAGAGATTAAGCAGAGATGAACAGACAGCTATAGAAAGGAAGGGTGGTTTTTTTTCCCCTTATTAAATAACATTGCTATCTTTTATGAAGTTAATTGGGTTTCAAAGTATCGATTAACAGAATAAATAGATGGGTTGACTTTTTTGCTTTATTCATTTTTTTTTCCTGTCCAGCTGATTTTTAGTGGCTGCCTTGTAGTTTTAATTCCTAGCATTTGTCTTGCTTGGTTGTAATGCTTTGGGTTTTGTTACAGTTTTTTTGAAGAATAGCATGACAAGGGAAGTGTCCTTATCAGTAGGGGAAAAAAAAAACAATCAGGAAGAGGGTCATAGGAAGCTGCTTCATTCATAATAACGCCATTGGTGCATCCAGCAGTTCGTCAACTGTTCTCAAGAGTTTCAAGTAGGGAGTGGGGAGGTTGTTTTTTTTTTTTTCCCAGGCCTATCTGGGCATTCCTACGATTGAACCTGGCATCTTTGGAATGGTTGTAATGTTTGCTTGTTTTGCACTGCACTCACAGCAGTTCTTAGAGAGCAACCATCAGTGCATGGTGCAATGGGAGTTTCATTTTTCAGCCAGCTTGTCACAGTGCATGACACTGATCAGGGCTTAGAGGGAATGACTTGCACAAAGCCACCAGCAGGCACTTGCGTTTCTCTGCTTCTAGTCCAGCAACTTAACCATCACATTGTACCAGCTCTCATTTTAATTAGTTATTAATCTTTTTGCTTGCTTTAGCATTGAACTTCACAGACTCTCTTTAGAGCGTAGCCCTGTGGGCAGCTGTGGTCACAGGGACAAATGTGATCTCCTCCCCCCCTCCCCCAAATCATAGTCTTCCAAAGTTGCTTGCGTAGTATAATTTTTAATGTAGTGGAGGGAATTTTATGGAAAAACTGGCGATATTAACATTAAATACGGTACCTTCAATGAACAAAGTGTAATTTAAATAATTCAAGTTCAAGAGAGAGCAGATCATCCCTCTTGTGCCTCTGATGCAAAGAAAATGAAACAATGATGTGGCCAAGGAGAACCTTATCGGAAATCTGATCTGATTTCTTAGTGCAGCATCCATACAAAATCAAAGCATATTTATTGAAAAGCCAGCGCTATCTTGTGATAGTACAGAAGCTGCGAAGTTCAGGAAATGTGTTATAGTAGTCAACTTTTTCCTCCTCCACACATTAATAAAATTGCATTTTGAAGAATAGGAAGTCTTTTGTTTGTTTCAAAAGGGGGATCAGGAGATAGGGGCTGCATCAAAGTCTTCTTGGCAAAAAAAAAGGCTTTCAAGTGATGTGATGGAAGTCTTTGGAAGGGAGCTTCAGGCATAAGAAAGAAGAAGGAGGAGCAGAGTCATATAAATAAGTGTGGCATCTTTAGGAAAGCTAAGGTTGGTGAAGCTGAAGGACCGAAACTCATGGGAAGGGATGTGCCAAGATTCTTTAGCAGTGAGATAAAAGCTATGGAAGATTTGAATGTAAGAGGGAAGAAATGATGCTGGGTTGCAAATGGACAAGAAACCAGTATAGCAATTTAGGGAGAGATTCCACTCCAAGTCATCAGAAGGGTGAGTTACTTTCAACAGAGTTGAGAAGGTCATGGTATGATGGTAGAAAACCAAAGTGGAGATAGTTCTAGCAAGTCTAAGCCAGAGGCACAATATTTGTTCAGTTCTACATACAGAGAAGCTGTGAATGTTCCAGCATTTACCCTAAGTTTTATTTAATAGGACAAAACTCGCTGGAAATTGCCAGGGCCTATGCAGACAACCGACTGATCCACTTCATTCAAGATACCTTGGACCGCTTGCCACAAGTCACAGAAGTCAAAGGGGATAAAAAGAAAGGGAAAAAAGGGGGCAAGCCTAAAGCTCCTTCTCCTACTCCTACTCCAGCTCCATCAGCCCAGGCTGCAGCTGCTCCCAAGCCAAAATCCGAACAATACTCAAAGGAGTCGGTGAAAGAGGAGGTATGATAACCAAGACTCTTTGACTTGAATCCATTCATAGATTTGCTTTTTTCACAATGTTTGAAAAATCACCTTAAGAGAAATTGTCTGGAGGGGAACTCCTGTCTCTAGTATGATGTCACAGGATTTCCTTTGGGGTTCACCAGAAACAACCCCCTCCCCCCGTGATGCTCATTAAATCAATCCTTCTGAATCACGGAAGGACCACAATAGAATTTCTGTCCATTCTTCTCTGCTTGAGTCCCTACAACCATTCCAGGAAAGGATCTCCGTGTGCTGAATTCAGCAAGTGACCCTGCTTGAAACCAGGGCAGGGGAATCCAGAAATCCTGCCCTGTGGAAGCTTAAATAGATTACATGCCAATAAAGTAAATGCTTTGGGTTTTGTTACAGTTTTTTTTGAAGAATAGCATGACAAGGGAAGTGTCCTTATCAGTAGGGGAAAAAAAAAACAATAAGGAAGAGGGTCATAGGAAGCTGCTTCATTCATAGTAACGCCATTGGTGCATCCAGAAGTCTGTCAACTGTTCTCAAGAGTTTCAAGTAGGGAGTGGGGAGGTTGTTGTTTTTTTCCAGGCCTATCTGGGCATTCCTACGATTGAACCTGGCATCCTTGGAATGCAACCGGTCTTCTATTCCCTTTTCCCAATAATTAAAGAAGAGGCAATGTTTAAATCAAAGCACCCATCTCAAGTACCAGCCATTTAAGCGACTGGCTTTTGACTTTAACTTTTTATTGCAAAAAATAAGAGATTTGGCGTCATGAAGCCTTGAAAATCCCAATATAATTTGCATTGTGCATTTCAGATGCTACAACCCCTTGATTCTATTGTTGAGAAATCACTCTTTGAAGAAGAGAAGGAATCCCTCAAGGATAATGTAGTTCATCTGAATTCCTTGATAACCAGAGGAGCAACAAAGAAACTTAATATCACTTTCACACCACAGAGAGTAAGTACCACTGTAAAACAGGATTAGAGTTACACGGGTAGTCCTCGACTTACAACAATTTGTTTAGTGACCGTTCAAAGTTACAATGGCACTGAAAAAGGTGACTTATGACCATTTTTCACACATAACGACCATTGCAGCATCCCCATGGTGATGTGATCACAATTTGGATGCTTGGCAATTGGTTCAGATTTATGACGGATGCAGTGTCCTGGGGTCACATGACCATCTTTTGCGACCTTCTGACAAGCAAAATCAATGGGGAAGCCAGATTCACTTAATAACCGTGTTACCAACTTAACAGCTGCAATGATTTGCTTAACAACTGTGGCTAGAAAGGTCATAAAATGGGGCAAAACTCGCTTAACCAATGTCTCACTTATCAACAAATTTGGGGCTCAGTTGTTGTCTTAAGTCGAGGACTACCTGCATTTTCACTGAGCTCCTACTTTTGTGGAATATGTTCCTGATGGATGCTCATATTTACTAATTCAGATCATTGTATTTCCTGTGTCCTATTCAGTTTAAATTTCTCATTTGTTCCAACTCCGGTGGTTCAAAATCCTAAAATTCTACTGTCATTTTATTGGGATAATAAAAGCATGCTGCCTGCAAAATTATAATCTCAGGGATAATACTACAATTTCCGAGTGCTCTCCAGATCTTGAGGCATTCATGATAGAAAGTTGTGTGTGCCAAAAAATAAATATGGTAGATATACCAGACAATTAAAGTTCTTGCTCCTTTCATGTATGATACCCATGAAACACGTGTAAAAAGGAGATGGGGTTCTATTTGCATAGTTGTGGCCACCATTTTTACATTTTTTTTAATCCACTTCTTCCCCTCTGTGGATAACCTATCCAGTTCTGCAGGAACACTTCTGATAATCAGAATTGTTAATTTTCCCTAAGGCAGGGGTAGGCAACCTTGGCTCTTTTATGACTTGTGGACTTCAACTCCCAGAATTCCTGGGCCAGCTGGCTTAGGAATTCTGGGAGTTGAAGTCCACAAGTCATAAAAGAGCCAAGGTTGCCTACCTCTGCCCTAAGGGGACTTGTTGGGAAAAGTTATTCTAGATCAAAGGATAGTCAGATAATTATTATCATCAAACCAAATCTTGACCTTAAAGAAATTTGATATGGCCCATGATGGCTATACCAAATGTGATTAAAAAAATCCTCCATTTATCAAGAAAATACCTTCTCCCAATTCATAAGCTCGTCTGTAGTTGAATATATTTCTTGCGCCATGGTGGCGCAGTGGTTAGAATGCAGTATTGCAGGCTAATTCTGCCGACTGCCAGTGATTCTCACCAGCTCAAGGTTGACTCAGCCTTCCATCCTTCCGAGGTTGGTAAAATGAGGACCCAGATTGTTGGGGGCAATAGGCTGACTCTGTAAACCACTTAGAGGGGGCTGTAAATCACTATGAAGCGGTGTATATATAGTAAGTCTAAGTGTTCTTGCTATTGCTTTGAGTATACTGAATATAAAGAAGGAGCAATAACATTATTCATTAGTGTTTATTGATAACATGCTGCCAATATTATAAACTGCCTGCTAGGGAATTGGTTAATGAGACACACTTGCTGAATAGACGCTCATCAATCATATTCTCGAAGATAGGTTTGATGCCAATAGACTAAGAATTCCAGACAGTCATTGTAGGACAGTCTCTCTTTTTTTCAGAGCAGATCAATATAATTCCTTAATATATCATGCTGCATGTTGATTAAGAATTGCTTTTCTTTTTCAAGACCTGGAGTCCTGAAGCAACCACAAAAGATCTTCTCAAAAAGAGGGAATTACATCGGCAGCGTTTCACCTATGAAGTGGACTTTGATGATTTCATGATGCCCTTCAAGAAGAATTTCATGGAGAAAGTCCGTACACTGCAACAGAGCGCTGCTTTGCATTAATCACGATGGATGTTTAAAAAGTGAATGGGAGGGGACCTCCCTCTCAAGAAAAAATGCTTTTGAGAGGCTTAAATCATGTTTTTTTTCCTAATTATGGCAAAAGTTTTATTTTCTTCTTCCTTAGTTTCAGCACAGGGCATCTTAAACCAGAGAAGTTTTTGTGCCTAAAAATTGGAAAATAATCCATCTTTTCTGTAATATGTTGCACTGAATCCTGTTGGGCTAGGGTTGCATATTAGTTCCAATAAATAACTAATTGGTCTCTCCTGTTTAATTGCATCTTAATTCATCCCATTCCTTAGGAAAAAAAATTCTCTCTAGCTGTGGAAACTTGAAGCTAATTATTTCTGGTGCTATAAATCTGAGTGACTGAATAAGGTGTCTTGATAGTTCAAATCTAGGGCAGTTGAAGGATTTGTGCACATCCACTGAATTTTCCTTGAGACTCACACCCTGGAAGACTACTGTAAGATAGGTCTTTTTTCTGTTAAGGTATATTTAGAACAGAAAGGTGCTTGGTTTTAACAATGCAGGAGAGAGGTTGATTTTGACCACAGCCCTGTGCCAGATCGTTGTAAACAGAGGAGAAATTGTTACAGGTTTTTGAGGGGGAGGAGATTTCAGTTGTTTAGGAACAAGTTCCTACACGTTCAAAAGATTTCTTTATTGCCTTTCATGGCTGTGGTAAAATTGGGGTATTTTCATATTGTTTGGGTCAGTCAGGATATATCAGTAATACCAATAGCAAACTGAGATGGTTTTGTCTGTGCTGTATTTTCCTGTACCTTACTTATTTCACTGGCAATGAAATAAATTAAGATTAGCAATAACATGCACTTTTTTTTTTTTGCTAGAGTGAGTCCCTAAAGTTAACCAATCTAAATGTTGCTGAATTACAAGTTTCAGCAGTTCCACCTGGCGTAGCTAAGGGCAGGATTACTGGGGATTATAATTCAGCATTAGTGGAAAGGAGAAGGAAGAAACCAAGGAATCCTCATTAATTGAAACTGAGGGTATTTTCCCCAAATTGCCTTCTAGATTAAACCTAAATGAAGGCAAAGTTCTGCAACAATACTGTATGCTTTAGCGTTGGGCCGAAAGAAACCAGCACAGTTATGATTATGGAGAAGCTAAGGAAAATGTGAATTGTTTTCCAAATCTGTCTTCTCTGCTGCCTGCTCTTGCTCAATAAACCACTAAGCATTTTTAGTTTCCAAAACTATTTTAAGCTCAAATACCTTTGCTCTGTTTTTACACCTATTTTGTGAACCTGGATTATGACTTGGATTCTATGGTTTGCTTTCAGCCATGCACGTTCTCACCTGCAACAATTGTTCTTATTTTAGTAGTAATGTTATTAGAAATTACAATTAAAAAGATACAAAGAAATACAAAATTAAAGAAATGAAAGGATAAAAAAGAAAACAGAAAGTGCAGAAAAAGTTAGAAAAAAAGAACACAATAAAGAAAAAGAAAAATATATAAAGAAACAACTTCATCCTCTACAACAAGTATATACAATTTTAGTAACTTATCACCTTTTCTTAAAACGCAACAAATATTCCTTCTTCCCATATCCCATCTCTTATCTGTTAACACATCCTTAAAGCCTTATTGTTCTATACATATCAGCAAAAGTCCATTAAGGATTATCAGATAACATATCTAAAATAGATACCTTGATCAAATAAACCAACTTTATATTCATTCCCTTTGCCTTTAACAATCTCGATCTTGAGTGCCTTAAACTAAATCTCCCAGAGTTTGATTTCTTTTCATTTTTTTTTCTTTATCCCTTCTAACAAAATTCTTCAAAGCTTTTAATAAGTCCCCTCTGTAAATCCAATATAGGAAAGTGATCCAGGTCACTCTTGGTTTCTTATTTGTACAGGCAGTCCTCGACTTACAAGGGAGCCCAAAATTTCCATTGTTAAGCAAGACTGTTGTTAAGTGAGCAGCACCCCATTTTATTTATTTATGAGACTTATATACCGCTTTAAGTGCAAGCACTCTCTAAGCGGTGTACACCAGTAAGCAATGTATATATATATTTACATTGCCCCCAACAATCTGGGTCCTCATTTTACCTACCCCGGAAGGATGGAAGGCTGAGTCAACCTTGAGCCGGTGAGATTTGAACCGCTGACCTGCTGAACACAGTCAGCTAAAGTGGCCTGCAGTACTGCACTCTTAACTGCTGCGCCACCTCGGCTCTTCCACAATTTTCCACAGTTGTTAAATAAATCACTGCCATGGTTAAGTAAATCATGAAGTGGTTAAACGAATCTGAGTTCCCCAATTGACTTCGCTTGTCGGAAGCCAGCTGAGAAGGTTACAAAAGGTGATCACATGACCACGGGACACGGCAACTTTCATAAATATATGCCAATTGCCAAGTGCTCGAATTTTGATCATGTGGCCATGGGGATGCTGCAATGGTGATAAGTATGAAAAAGGGTCATCAGTCTCTTTTTTTCAGTGACATTATAACTTCAAATAGCCACTAGCCTGAACGGCTGTAAGTCAAAAGACTACCTGTCTATCCTTTTTAATCATCAAGACATCAGGCAAGTTCATTTGTATGTCCAGTGTAACATCTTTTCCCCTTCATTCCCTATAGCCTGTCATTTTAAAATCATAAGGAATAGTCCAAGGCAACAAGTTTAAAAATTAGACTCCAATTTTGTTGGGAGCAGATAATTGTAGTTTGCTTGATAGAGCCGTCATATTTTTTAAAGTCACGGAGAAGTTGTACATCTAAGTGCTGTGTGCTTTCTTGAGAATTCTATGTCTTATAAGCAGGCCATCATTAACCAACTTCATGGTGCTGGTGTTTAATTCAAATATAACCACTACAGAGAATCCACTTCAAGAGCAATAAAATATTCTTTTAGAGAAAGAGTTTCTTGCCTTGGTTTTTTTCAAAACGAAGTATAGAAATAGGCACAACATTGAACAAAACCTGAGTTTCTGGTATGTAATGCAAAATAACATTACTTTTTCCATTCTTTTCTTGGTTATATAAATTAAATCAATATTTTGTCACAAAACGTAAGGGAATGGGGTATAATCATTAGGAAGAACCAAAGGCATATATTAGATAAAAAATATATAAGGCCCATGGAGGGGGAGGGGGAGGGAGAGAGGAGAGAGGGAGAGAGAGAGAGAGAGAGCAGAAAAAATGTAAAATCTTAAAAATGAATAGGAGCATTAGGAAAGTATAGGAGAATATTGGCTATATAGAGAGGCTATATTTATATCTAATATGGCAATGTGGGTGCATGTTGAGTCTAGTTTTTTAAGAGTTGAGCCTGAAAACAAGAAATCATCATCTGATGAATTCTGAGCACTGCTGCACAGGACCTGGCAACGTCATATGTTATGGTAGGGTTGATATCTGAAGGCAACTAGGAGATGCAACCTTGTCTTATGTGGAGTTTGGATATTTATGTAGTAAAGAGGGAATGAGCCTAGTGTGAATGTCTCCGTAATATGAATATGCTCTTGTTTCAAGGCTGCTCCAGGTGGAGAGTCTTCCTATATCAATCCTCAAGAAGAGCTTTATATAAAAGCTATAAGTGCACCTTGGAGATGTCTGGCCATTCATATTTTAAATAAAAATGAACATTTATACATTCGTCAGGGTTTTCCATTTTTTCCCCTTTTACACTTGTTTATATTTGGAGATTGGGAAAAAAAATGGCCCCAAGCTATATAGAGTAGAGAAAACCCTGCTCTAAAGAAAAAGGAATAGAAGAAGGAAACAATGAGAAGTAGAGACGTGAGTCCCGTGTAGTACGTTAAATCCACTGTTAAATCTCAGCTTAACAATCTGAACTTCTACTTCAAACCAAGCTACACTCTCTTCAAGGGTCTTAAAAGAGTGGGTGAGTATAGAGCTCCCAGATGCTCTAATCTGCCATGGATGGCATGCCCATTCTTTAAACACAGAGAAATTGCATCTCAATATTATGAGCATCAATTTTACAGGGAAGTCTTAAATGTTTTATGTTTATTTTTAATTGGCTGGCTGCTTAATCACTTCGCCGAGAAGCCACTGATGAAAAACTTTTAATTGCTTGTTTGACTTAAGATGAGCATTGTATAATACCTAAATAACTCACTGGTGTGTAATAAGTACCATAAAGAGCATGTGCGCATTTTCAAACCTCCCTTTTTGCTTTTCCCACTCCCCATTCATTATTTTTTTTTTGCAGATGGCATTTCTTCTAATAGCAAATTCATGCAATCAAGTATTTGTGACAGCACCGCAGAAAAAACAACTGCTGAGAAACAAATAGGAAGATGAAAAAAGGAAAAATAACAGCCAGTGATGCTTGAATGTGCTCTGGGGTCTCCAAGGAAAATATCAGTTGAAAGGCAAAATGAAAATAAACTGGGGTAGGTAGTGAGGGAGTGAAGAGAACATTAATTGATCTATTTGGAACTTTTAATTAGTCATTCTGGCTCTGCTCAACATATATGCAAAAGCTAATTTGGTGCAGTGATGAAAGTGCTGGCCTAAAAACCAGGAGACTGTGAATTCTAGTTCTGCCTTAGGCGTTAAAGCTGGTTGTTTAATTCTGAGCCAGTGACACTCTCTCTCTCTCTCTCTCTCTCTCTCTCAATCTCTCTCTCTCTCTCTCTCTCTCTCTCTCTCTCTCTCTGCCCAACTCACATCACAGCATTGTTGTGAAAAAAAATAGGAGGAAGAAGGTTCACCGACTTGAGTTGCTTATAAAGTAATAAAGATGGGATAAAAATCTAATAAATTACACAAGGGCACCAGGTTACCTCTTGATGTCTTTTGGAAACTTTGGATCTCTACTTTCACTAATCCCACCAGCAGAATCAGAATGGCAAAGGATGGTGAGAGTTGTCCACAGCTTTTGGAGCACACCAAGTTACTCTTGGTTTAGAATGACTTGGATAAAAACATGGCCAACTGACCAAATACCATCTTTCCCAAAAAATAAGACCCACCCAGAAAATAAGCCTTAGCCCGATTTTTAGGGTGTGCTTAATATAAGCCCTACCCCAAAAATAAACTGAGGGGTTTGGCGTGGCCAGCATAGGCGGCGAGTGCATGGGGCCCAACAGTGTCCAGCAGCAGCTGCAGCCTGCACAGCACAGATAGTCCGAGAGTAGAAGCAGAGGCGGGGTAGAGGCAGGCAATCCGGACACACGGCATAACTACCTGGCTCGTGGGAGGCTCACATGACAGCACCAGCAGCAGGCAGAAGCAGAGGCATGGAGGGGAG